CCTCCCAGATCTATATGAAGCTGTTCCTCTCTGGCTGACTATGCTACATGAGGCTATCCCCTCGCTTACATTCCTAGACCTCCTACTGGCTGGCTCCCCTAAATGCCTATCTACCTGTCCTGCAGACCTACTGACATCAGCCATGGTCTATGGTTGTGGGAAGAACAAGGCTGAGTGAGGAGACACCAGCCCACCGTCCAGGGAGCAGCATGTAACAGGCACACAGGTAAAGCCACGGAATACATGGCAACATCTATTTAACAGAAATGGGCTGAGTTTAAGTGTAAGAACTAGTTAATGGTAGGCCTGAGCTAATGGCTAAGCAGTTTTAAATAATATTAGCCTGCATGTGTTTATTTGGGTCTGAGCGGCTGCAGAAATGCAAAGATATAGGAGCCGGGTGGACACAGGAAAACTTCAACTACACATGGTGGTCTCTTACACCAGGCCTCACTCAGAGTCTGCAACTTACCTGTTACCAGCTGCCCAGAACTCACATCTGTATGCACCACAGTCCACAAAATTCATTCTCTACCCTACTGTGCAGTATCCCTGAAACATATACACTGCAGAGCACCATGTAAAAGCTACAAAAAAATGTTCCATTATGATACAAACATATTACCATTTAATTTCTTAATTACTATATAATAACCTAGGCGGCCAAACTGGTTGAAATAAATAAGACTCAAGATCATACAAGTGAAGGCTAGGACCAAGCATGCACCTTTAATCCCAGCACTCAGAGGCAATAAACAAGAGAATCCCTGTGAGTTCAAGGACAGCCTGGTCTACATAGTGAGTTCCAGGCCAACCAGGGCTATACAGTGAGACCCTGTCTTCAGAACAACAAACAAACAAACAAAAAACAAAAAGGTGAGGACTAGAGCACAGAGATGGAAGGAACCTCAGGATCTCAGCTCAGTCCAGGCCCAGGGCAGAGAGCCTCTTTTTGGAGACCGTCATTATGTTGTGTTGACACAGTCTTCAGCTCCTCCCATGTATTGTTTCAGACCAACAGAATATTATTAAACTACAAAATGGACCAAATTAAAGCACTGATCTTGGATTACACATGCTTCCCTCAAAATGGTTGAACTTTATCTGTAATCCGACACTGGTCGGGCCTTTCACTAAGACCTAAGGAGAGACAGGAAAACAGAAAGAAGGATCCAGACTCTGCCTGACTGGCTTCCTGTCTGAGGCCATCAGCTAGGATGGCTTCCAGCGGACACCTACTTTCTCTAAGCAGAGACCTTCCAACAAGGAAGTTCAAATACACTATAAACACAGGGTAGTATCAAAACTGAATGAGTGGATGATCAGGTGACAATGCCTGGGTTTCCTGGTAACCAGCCAGTTACCAATATCTAGGTGCACTTTAACATCCAGAAAGAGACGAGCAATTATGGAAGGAAAATGGACAGGAAATAAAGAAGGGCTGCTTGTTCTTCCAGCAGACCTCAGGCACATCAGTCCTCACACCGCTATTTACAGGGGACCTGCCTCACAGTCAGAGGTCTAAGAGCTGAGTTCACCACAGCCTGCCTGGGCATATCCCAACAGTGAGGGCTTCAGTGCAGGATGAGACCAGCAGCACCATTCAGAACCTCCTTCCACGAAGTCTTCACAAACTGAACCAACCCAAGCCCTTTCCTCAGGCTGCTCACAGCACTGGAAACAGTTATTTAGAGCAATAAATCCCAACAGCTAGGCGGCTTTTACGTCAGAGAACCAGGGCCTGGCTCTAGCAAAGTCCAGAAAGAACAGCAATAAAATCATAAGGCAGGCCTCACCCAGCACCACAGGGAGTTTAAAGGAAAACAGGAGAGAGGAGTTATACACAGCAAATAAAAAAGGCCACTTCATCACCAGGCCAAAGCCAAGCTACCCTGCCAATGTGAGAGAGGACCCAAAGGCCACAGGACTCCACCAGGGCCTAACGTGCCACCAGCATGCGCCAGGCCACACAGGAGCAGCCAGGAGTGAGCCAGGCAGGCCAGGGCATGGGACCAGAGAGAAGACACTGGGGTCACAGAAAAAGGAAGGCAGACAACTATGAGACAGTGACAAGGACCAGCATGACTATCCTGGTTCCCTAGCTTTGTCCCAGCACAGTCAGAAGTTTCCTGTTCCAGATAGCAAACTGAAGGCTGGGGAGCTCTGTGTAAGAGGCTGTAATTAACCTGTGCAAGGCTTCAGACTCAATCCCAATATTAAAAATCAATGAATTAGGTAATTGACTATTAATTCTCTTTCTTCCCGAAATCCACTAAATTCAAAATACAAGTAAACTGTGGAAGGATTCAAAGGCAATGCCTCACAATGAATAAAGCCCAGAAGACTCACACACATGAAACTACAGGGCCAAGAGGCCAGTATGTATCACCAGTAAGGACCTCTGGCCTAGGCACAGAGCCAGCTCCCTTCTTGGCCATTCAGGGCTGTGATGTGCCATGTGAAGGGCACCTGTTATATGGCTGCAGAAAATAATCTGCAGAAGACCAGAGGGCTAGAGAGGCAGGAGTCTCAGCAAGCTCCAAGCCCTGAACAAACAGCCCAGCCACAGACATGCAAGCATTCTGAGGAAAAGAATGGTCTCAGCACAAGGCAGCTCTATCTGACCCACTGCAAGACACAGAGGCACACACAACTTGATATAAGGGGAAGAGCCACGTAGAAACCCAAGGATAGGTGAACAAGCACAGGGGGAGCTCAGTGGTTGAGCACTTGCTTGATGTGCAAGAGGCCCCAAATCTGATCCCCAACAGAGGGAGGGAGGGAGGGAGGAAGGGAGGGAGGGAGGGGAGGGGGGGAGGGAGGGGGGAGGGAGGGAGGGAGGGAGGGAGGGAGGGAGGGAGGGAGAAGTGAACATTGATGGGTAAAATTCCCCACACAAAGTGCAAAGACTCGCTGAGGGAGAAGAGTCCAGCTGACCCCATTTATGAGGTTAAGGCTTGAAGTGGCTGGGAAAAGTCAGAGGTAAGTAGATGGGGCAAGATCCATTAGCCAAAAACAGGCAAGTATTTTACAGAATAAAATAAACACTGTACTCTGGTAAGAGAGCTCATTAATCAAAAGAATAGTCATTAATTTTTAATTAAGTGCTGGGGGAAAAACACTGAAATATATAGAGAAAAATGATTAATAATATTAAAAGACTATACCAAAAATGTAACTACAATAGAACATTTTACTTTTCTCAGAAATCAAGAAGCAAAGGGTAGAGGCCATCCTGGCTTAAAAACTCAATTGAGTTAATAGATATAGGTAACATTTAGGGAGAATGTACAAATATTCTTGTACATAACTAGGTCATGCATATGTATGAGAAAATTTTAAACACAGGACTACGATATACTTGCAAACTTCTTTAGATCAACAACACAGTAACAAGAGCACACTTTTCCTCAAATGCCTGGGTAGTGTGTCCAAGATCTGATTGTATCTGTATCAGGTCACATAGTATGTACCCCATTTAAACAGCAAAGAAAATGTAGTTATTTCCTTCAGCATGCTAGCAGAAATCAAACAGACTGAATCTGCCCAGTGCCAGAGTGGTGAAGGTAGGAAACTACACCTCCTAACACACCGAGATTAGGAAGCTCAGTTAGACAACATTCTAGAGCAATTTCAGTCATCCTTAAGACATTTTTCAGACATCCTTAAGACCCAGCTTCAGCTTTTCAGAAGTTATCCAGTGGAGATACTTAGGATACTGTACATAATATATTCATAGTAATTGTGTGATGTCAACTTGGGATTACCGTGAACACTGCCATAACCACATAAAGACCCATCACAAACTGTCAGAAGAATGTCAGGTTTATGTGCACACTGACATCAAGGATTTCACAATACACTAACATGTAAAAACATCTAACATACTACCTCGCATACAACTGTGGACACATTTCACTACATGCTCATACACAGGGAAGATATACACCTCCATCTCACTGCAGAGCAGGAGGCATACCTAAATACCAATATCTGCTGTACACATTTCAATATACACAGCTTAACTTTTTCCTACAATCACCATAAACAATTTCTTTAGAACAATCAATACATGAACAACTGAATCAATAAAACCCTCCTACTTAAATAAAGCTTGGAACCCTGCCCTCTGAAGTTCTCAGATGATGCCCCAGAGACGTATGTGTCACCATTCTGCTCTCAGCAGTCCTGGAGGAAAGGGTCTAGACCCTAAGCCTCTGCCTCTACCCAAGAGCAGACTCAGAGGCAGGCTGACAGAGCCTCAGGCAGCCTCCTGTGTGTACCCAAGACAGACACTGACACCTAAAGCTCTAGAGACTACACGGTGCACTAGAAGTAGCCAAGGGCAGCTGAAAGTTCTGCAGGAGGTCAGGCAGGGCTCTCGACATTTATCATGGTTCACGCTTTACTACTTTCTAAGTCCAAGTCCCATACGTATTTGTTAAGACCCAAGCATGCAGTTTCTAATTCTGTTCTGCCCTTCCAGCTCCTTGACCTTAGACTAGTCCTTTGTCCCAGCATTCCCAAATGCATCTAGGGCTAGTGAGAATCAGAAAGGCTCCTGAAATGTTTAATATTGCACCAAAGAAAGCAAACTCCAAGACACTGGATTGGCTGGGTGAAACCAAGGCTTCACCCCACCTAGGGTCATCACAGCAGCACTGCCCCTCACTTGCCCTGACAAGAATCTCACTCTGCAAGCTACCTGCTGGTATTTATCCATCACCTACTCAAACACAATTCTTTTTCTTGGCATCAAGGACACTGTCTTCCATTATAGTAGGCATGCAAAGCCAGGGCATCCTCTGACTCTCCAGGAGGTCAACATTAGCCCCTTGAGCCCAAAGACAAGAGCCCCCAGGTCCTGAGCCTTGATGATGCTGCAAACCAACAGCACTGCCCCAGGAAAGCAAACTCTGAAAGGGAACAAGCAGGCTGCAGCGGCAGCAGCCCTTACATCTGTAAAGAGGAGCACTAGGAACCAAAGATGCAGGCCTTACCTGGATGGCTTTGGGAGCTCATTGCTAGCAGTGTCGGCGCCTTAAGTTCAAAATGGCTCAAAATGTCCACGTAAACAGTAGCTCCAACCAGCTCCAAACTTCCACCAGCACATGCAAGTAAAAAACTGAGGCGACTCGGGTCCCAGCTGCGCAAACTCGAAGTCTCACTGGCAGGGTCTTGTAAACCAAGTAATCCACAAGAAGAGCAGAAGTTGTCACCTGGCCTTGCAGAGATGAACCTGCATGGTCAGAGAAGAAAGGAGCCCTCAGTTGGGATGTGAACACTGAATCTGGACACCACCACCTAACTAAGAAAATAGGTTTCACTCTTTTCTTTGTTTATAAACCCAGGAATTGGAAAAAGCAATTCACACTAAACCATTTCTATCAGCATGAACTGAGGTTTGTCAAAAATCACATGTGAGCAAAACACATTGGTGAGCAATGTTCTTCATCACTGCTGACATCATAGAATAGCTACGCAGTTGGCTGGGCTGTGGAGCTGTTACACTCATGACAGAAACCCAGCAGTATTCCTGACCTCCGCCCACCAGATGCCAGTAGCGTCAGCCAATTATGACAACCAAAAATGTCTCAGGGAGGCCAAAATCAACCTCAGCTGAAAGTCTTATCTAGAGATATCAACCACCCTTCCAGAAACTTCCTCACCATCAGGCTATCAGGAGGAAGTAGTACAGAACCTCACACTGATACACATGTATTTCAAGCTGCACAGGGAAAATGCCACTGTCCCACCTTGCCTTTCCATGGACAAGCGCCCATCCAGACTTCTCTGCACATAGCTCTACCAAAAAATGTAGTTCAGATTCCTTAAGTTACCGCCCTTGTGCTCGTCTTTATAACTACATTTTTCCAGGTTTATAAGGAACGCATGGCCAGGCAGAAAAGTATCTGCAGGGTACCTGGGTTAGCCTCTCCCAAGAGGCAAGTGCAAGGTAACATACACACTCAGACCCTTCCTGCTGGACTTCTCTTTCTCAGCCTTTTGCCCATAGGAACCACTGCCCACATAGCATCCTAGTCCCCAGTTGCCACTTTCCCAGGTCTCTACACCACTTGGTAAATGCTTGGGAGGGTCTGAAAAGAATGCAGGTTTTAGGGCACTGTTGAAAGCCCTGGATTTAGTAGATTCTCCCCCTGACCTGACTCTTCTATAACCCATCACACTTCAGAGACAAGCCAATGAATGTCAACCCAAGACTACCTGACTGATTCTGGCTCCAGTACCTACTGAGCCATCTGTCTATATCTATTTCTTTCTTTAAGAATGTGATGAATCCTTTTTTTTTTCTTTTTTTTTGAGAGTGTCTTACTACATAGACCAGGCTGGCTCTGAACTCAAGGAGACTGGCCTTCCCCTGCCTCTCAAGTGCTAGAATTAAAAGCATTCAATATCACGCCTGGCTTATGAATCCTTTTATTAAGCAAGTCAAGTATTTTCCCCAGCTGCTTGCAGCTAATCAGCTCATCATGTCAAGGACTGTCTCTAAATGCAGGCTATTCAAGGTGGTTTCCAGTTTTACAATATTGCCTACAACTCTGTGTCCCTTATCTTTATGACACCTGACCTGTACCCAACAGCACCATGACTTTGATCCACTGGTTTAGAAGTTTTACTCCTCTCAGTCAGGACACCACTTCTTTAAAGGGGAGCAGGCATCACAATTCTGCAAACCCTGTGACTCTAGGCAATTTTGTATCCATCTTGCACAAAGACACGTCTTGACTAGGGTATAAAAGTCTCAGGTCACAACCATCCATCCAGTAACACTGTTCCCTTGGCACCATGGAATATCCTAAGCCCAGCTACCCCAGAGTTCCTATCTCTATATAACTTTTAGGGCTGGGTATTGCTGATGTCATTTTCTTCTGCCTACATGCTACCATGTCTTTTCTCTAGTCTGGAAATTTAAAAATATTGTCAGACGGTGTACCGCTAAGTGTCTCTTGATTCGTTTTGCTCACAGCAAGACCCTTTGAATACATTTCCATCTTCCTGCTCTGGAAAATGCTCAGTCACCCTTGATTATTTTTATTCAACTCATTCTGGCTTCTTGAGAGATTCTATACTGCTGCTGGACTCTCTCCACAGATCCCACCCTTCTTGCCTCAGACACATCTGTTGTTTATTCTGCATTCCCAGGCGGCCTCTCTGGTACATTCTGCACATGACTGCTGAGATCTTCCACAGTATCAGCTTTCTTCGTTGTGGTCATGATGCCATTTAAGTAAGCTTTAAACATTGTTCTCCACTACTTCCCTTGAGTACTTTCATTTGGCCTGATCCTCTTCCTAGTCACCCCACCCCCCCATCCCACACGCCCTCATTTCTTGAGCCATGTCTAACCAAACTTCAAAAAAGCTTTCTCTGACTAAGACAGGAATCATGTTCTGAGCTGTGTTCTTAGGTAATCTGGAACACCTTGTTGCCGGGCTCCAGATGAGGACTGTGGTTTATCCTCAAAGAACAGCCCCTCCAGACCAGAGCACCACCCAAGCCCACCTTGCCCTTCCTACAGGATAGGTCAGCTTCCCAGGATCATAGCTCCCACCCAAGGCTTCTAGCAAGCTCTCTAAGCACCACTGATGGATTGGGAGGAGCCCCTTCTAATAAAACCCAGGAGTTTCTGTTGGGACACAATACATATGTTCTGGGAGAACTCATATTTGGCAAAACTGAACACTAGAAATACCAGGGCTTAGAAGAGGAATGAGATTCATAACCAATACACTACAAAAATGTATAATGAAAATATTATCACAGTTAAAAAAAGACATTTAAATAGTCCTAACAAAAAGTCTAATAAATGCAGAATTTTAAGATTTAAAACTAGTGACAACAATTTAAAGAGAAGGATAACGAGAAGATGTTTCTGAGGTTGAGAATCAAGGACAACTGAGCCCACTCTCACCTGTATCTGCAACCTCATCAAACTGTCCAGACACTCCACTAAGGGGCAGAGCTTGTCAAATTAAAAAAGAGTAATTTTTTGTACCAGATAGAAAGAACCACCATGAGGTAGGACTGGGAATGGTCGAGAGACAGGTCATTCAATTGTTGTAACATCAGTGTTCCCCAAGCAACAGGCTCAGCAATGTGCTACCTACAAGAACACATTTTCAGTACAGGTACATAATGACATTCAGGTCAATAATAGACTGCATACAGCAAATACAGTGGTGGTCACATCAAAAGGGATCACCACGTGACACTGTGGTCATCTTAGCCTGTGTAATATTCACACAATGGCAATGATGACAACACTACAGAGTAAGTTCCTTCACAGAGCTGAACTTACTATGATGTCACAAGATGGGAAAAGTGCTATCACACAACCGTGTAGGTTAAGCACCACTGTCCAACTGACTCCACTTAGAATCCCCCAAGAGATGATGAGGAATCCCTCTGTCTGTGAGGGCCCTTCTAGAAGGAGGAACTGAGCACTAAGTGCCATCTTGAGTAAAGGAAGCACCATCCCATAGATTGAGAGATCCAGAGAATGACAGAGGAAACTGGAAAAGCCCGCCTAACACCAGCACCTTCCTCTGCTTCCTAGCCCACATGACCCGACCTGCTGTGCTCTACCACGCCCTCCCCACTGATAAACTGAACCCTCTGAAATCATAAGCCAACGTCCATCTCCTTTCCCTTGGATCTCTCAAAAATATCTGGTCTCAACAATAGCAAAAGTAACTAACACCCAAACACTAACCAAGAGCAAGCTGGTAAGGAGACATCAGCATCAGACTTTAATCAACAGGATGCAGAGGCCCAGTTCCGAATGGCAGAAGGACCAGTAAGTTGAACCATCAATGAAAACCACACTTTACAGTAGAAGCAAGAGTAAGAAAAGCATGAAGGAAACTGGCGCATCTGCAGCTGCAGCTGAGGGTCTCGATGCTTGTTCTCGGGGACTGTTACAACAGCAGACAGAGAATTAGCAGGATGCCAGAACACATACACATACCTCAAGGTGACTCAGTGACATTTACACAATACTACACAAAAGCAGTGGGGTGCACTTTCTTCACTGGCCTTTAACATACAGAGCACGAACAGAGGCAGAACACCTGTAGACCCATTAAACAAGCACCAGTAGGTTTAAAAGGACTCGAGTCACATAAATAAACTCATTTTACTAATGGAATTAATTTAAAATTCAGTAAAAACAAAAAGGTATCTTAAAATCCCAAAATGTTTACACACTACATGATGCATTTCAGTTCCCCACACACCTGTGATTGCAGCATTTGGAAAGTGGAGGCAGGAGACTCGGTAGTTCAAGGTCAACCTCAACTACATAGAGTCTGGGAGCGGCCTGGGTGACATGGAACCCCCGTCTGTCTCAAAGTATACAACAAAACATTTCATGAATGAAGAATCTGGAAGGCACTTTGCAATGAATGAAAATGGAAGCATACGACATCAAACTATGAAATGCCCAGGGGGAAATTCTCCACACTGAATCCCTGTGTTAGAAAAGAGTCTTGAGTCAGTGACAGTAGGCTTCACTTAGAATTAGACAGGAACAAAACAAACTCCAACTAAACAAGAAGAAGACAAGAGCAAAGAGTAGAAATCCAGTCAATGAAAAAAAGGAAGAATAAGGCCAAGCACAGTGGGGCACACCTGTGACCCAGATATTGGGGGGCTGAGGAAGGAAGCCAGCGAATTCAAGCCTGTACTACACAGTGAGCCCCACCAGGAACACAGAAGGGAAGACAGGGGAAAATGAATGTGACTGGCAAAGCTTTAGCCAGACTGACGATGAAAACTGAAAATTCACACTATCAAGAAGAGGGGATGAACACAGACCATACAAATAGTAAAAAAACAAACAAACAAACAAACGAGATAGCATCATAGACAACTTTATGGCAAGGACTTAAATAAAATTAACAAGAGCCTTGAAAGACCTAAGTATCAGTTATTTGAGAGGACAGACACACAGCAGGTCACATCTTCTGGGTCCCAGATCCATCAAGGGGCCCATCTGCAACTGGTGCCATTGAGGGGGGTCTGCCTGAGGGTGGCACCTGGCTTCCTCCTCTTCTACAGGTAGCTCACATTCAGTGCAGAGGAGCCCTTATCCTTGCTTCTGGTCACTAGCATTAGTGGAGACAGGCGAATATTTCTTCCTTCCTTGCAGTGTGCTAACAAGCCAGTGTAACCGACGTCCTCGGCTCTGTCCACTGGAGCCCCCGTAAGTCAGCTGCT